CCCCCCCCCCCAGCCTGGAGCCTCGTCCTCATATTTACAACCGAGAGCTTCTTAGTCCTTCTGCTCCAGCTTCATCAGCCCCATTTTCCACATTAAACACACTCTCATTCCAGCCCCGGCCTTTTAATTAGACCGGGACTGATTAAGTGCCTGTGTGTGTGTGTGTGTGTGTGTGTGTGTGTGTGTGTGGGCAGGTACACACACGCACTCATGTGTGCAGCTGAGCCGGAGCCAGTCTGTTAGCCGGCGGCGCATTAGCGTCAGAGCTAACGACCGTCCGAGCCCATCGGCTCCAGTAATGAGCGCCCTCCCTGATAAACAGCAGCTAATCACTGCTGGGTACAAATCTGCATCGACGCCGCTGGAGTTAATCTCGTCCGCTGCACCATGAGACCCGAGTGTTCAAGGTCTTTGCACCTTTTCCCAGTCCTGCAGATTAAGAAAGCTTACAACACAGCAGAGGTACAATAACCGTGGAACGATTTGGGCTTCTGGGTCCTTGCTGTGTCCTTTAACCAAAAGAAAGACATTCATCGTACTTGATTTCTACAATGTTTCTGTGTATTTTACTGCAGCAGAGATAAAGAAGAGAATATAGAGCCGCTCCTAAATCTCCCTGATTGAATTCCAAGTAGCAGCTCACTTAAAAATGCAAAGTTTTGAGCTGCAAAGTCCAGTGCGTGTAATGGTGTATCACCTTTTTAACAGTGTCTGGAGCTTTAAAGCACCCTCTGGTGTTTTTACAGAACCTCAGAGCTGCCCAGAGCCGGCTCCTGTTGACACTGATCCTTCAGCTCCTGGGGTGGCCGAGAGCGGAGGAGATAAACTGTGAAGCAAATCTTCTCAGAGATGCTTTGAGCTCATTTCAAATGCATTACGAGTCGCTTGGCATTTCTTAAATGCTAACATGCAGAACACATGGAATGACTATCAATCACTGTTGAAGTTTCTTCCTCGTAAAACATTTTCCTGCTGGATTTGAGCCATTCTGTTTCACTCGTTTCAGATATTCTTTGCCCTCGCTTCACGTGCACTAACCCCACTACTCGTTGCAGCAATGTAGACAGCAACAGGTTGTGATTGGTCTGCTTGGTGGCGTCTTGTTTCCTGTGAAGCACAGAAACAGAAGAAGAACCCTCAATGCTCGTACACGCCTCCTCCACACGTCCTCTATCTTTTCTGCGTCGCAGTATTTTCAGTTTGAGGGAAAATAGTTTTGTATCACATTTAACAGATTTCATGTGGTTTTAAAACTCGAGTCCATTTACTGTGGGATGGTTCAGAGATGGTCTTGTTCTTGTGCTGTGTTTCAGGAAGGGGAAGTTCCTCCACCATTACGAAGACTACGGAGCCACAGCCAAAGATATCGCCGACTGGATGAAGAAGTGAGTATCATCCTCATCACCTCACCCTCTGGAGATGCTTTTAGACTTGTTAAAGGGACGGTAGAGATTCTACACACTCAGTGTTTTACTACAGTAGATGGAGCAAAGCAATGTACTTTGAGTGTATGTTGGACTCCTAACAGAATCAGTTTAAGTGAACGCTATATTTAGAATGTTTTCACCTCTTTTCCTTCATGATGAGGAACTGAAGCTGTTCTCTCTGATCTCTACAAACACACCAGGGTCCTTATAAACAGGTTCAACCTCTCAGAGCACAGGAGCTGCTGCTCCATCTCTTACTGTGTCTGAGTCGTTGAGACTTCAGTGTTTTAAAGAGTTCAGGTTTACTAAAGTCACTCAACAACACAATAACCCTAACCGATAGAGCAGTGACTCCTGAGTTGTGAGAGGTTCAGTCTCTGTTCTTATGGAGTCCGGTGTGTTTGAAGAGAGGAAAGGGCCGTGTGAAAGCTCTCCCTGTAGAGACTTTATTTTATATATAAAGTACATTCAGCCTCCTACAATGAGAAGAGTACTTCACTCTGTCGCCGTATAAATGTCCAGAATCACCTCTTCCTTCTACTCTGGTCTTCATCACACCTCTTCCTCGCCCTGACTCACCTTGCCAAGGTGTCATCCATCTACACCTGCTCTGCTCCGTCTCATTGTTCTTCCTCACCTCTCTGCCCGTAACCCTGTGTCTCCCCCACCACGACAATGGCTCTCCTGCCTCCCTTCATTGTGTTGAGGGCCTGGCTCTGGACAGCCGTGACCGTCCGACGGGGCCGGCCAGAGGGCACAGAGCTGCAGCTCTTTAACAGCTATCACAGGAAGCGGAGCGAGACGGCCAGGAGGATGTATTCTGAGCTCTGCTCTCTTTAAGCCAGAGCAGCAGAACTACTAAACTTCTCCTGCTGCGCTTCTGCAGACAAACGCAGCCAAGCTCCACAGAAAGGTTCCCGTGCTTTAAAATCAGGGGCCGTTATGTTGACAACAACAAAGTCACTGTATTGAGTCAACTCGAGTATTCTTCACTTCACCTGGTTCGGTTCACCTCTGCTCACTGTGTGTGTGTGTGTGTGTGTGTGTGTGTGTGTGTGTGTGTGTGTGTGTGTGTGTGTGTGAGAGACTGTGTGTGTGTGAGAGACTGTGTGTGTGTGAGAGACTGTGTGTGTGTGTGTGTGTGTGTGTGTGTGTGTGTGTGTGAGACTGTGTGTGTGTAGTTGGAGGAGCTCAGCCCAACACAGAGATCAGAGTAGATGCTGCAGCGTGATAATAAATGTTAGTAACGTTAATAAGAAGTAATAATAATCACCAGTGACGTCGGAGCTTATCAATAGTATGATCTTTAATTATTCAGCATCGGGGCTCCTTCTGAACATAAAACGTTAAAGTCTCTCTTGATCTACTGTCTGTTAATGTTTGTCCGTTCTGGGCTGCCGTAGAAACATGGCGGACTCCATTCTGTCTGTTTTCTCCTCTATTTGGCCCAAAACTAAGATATCTTTACGTGCATGGAGTGACCTTCCTTTGCACATTAAATATGTTCCATATGGTAGAACGGAGGAGGACCGGCCTCCTGCCAGCCTCATCACGCCCGTGATCCGTGTTCCATCTGGAGATCCTGTCGACGAGGAGAAAGCTCAAAGTTTTTGCAATAAACGGTGTTAAAAGGTTTTTCAGGATAGACTCCCTGCCTCCCATCTTTTATCTCCTCTGCCCTGTTTCTCACCTCTAGTTTCTCTTCTCTTCAGATTCAGCTGTCTCCTTTTCTATATTCCTGTTTTCACCAGATTCAATCTTTACTCTTTGACAGGAGCAACAGAAGTCACAATCTGAAAGTCAAACAGGGAAACTGTTTCTTACTGTTCTAACATCAAAACGTTTACTTGGTACCAATCCCGACTTACTTACTCTAGAGTCAGTATATAAGTGGACGCAGACGTAAGAGTCTCTCTGAGACTAAAGAGGCAGAACAGAACTGGACCTGATGAGAGCAGCTCCGGTCCCTGATGAACCCTGATCCTGAGCTCTTCATATATCAGAGGGATGCACATTAAACGATGACATTCTGGAGAAAAGTGGAGAGAGAGAGAGAGAGAGATTGCGTGTCTTTTGAAAGGACTTGTGTTGTTTACGTCCATCTTCTGTCTGCTGGTCGTTGGCTCTGCAGCGTTGGACTCCGTCATTGAGGGCGGGGCTGCTTCGGTCCAGATGTGTGTGTGTGTGTGTGTGTGTGAGAGACATGTTGGGTGGAGAGCGGGTTTACAGCTGTGTTTGATTTCTGCTCTGTGCGGAGTACACACCAGCTGCAACGTGACTGCTTTTACTTAAAAACAAATGTAAACGTCCCTCACCTCTGTTGCCCTCGCTGCCCCCCCCCCCCCCCCCCCCCCCCCCCCCTCCCTTACTTCCTGTTTCAGCCCTCAGCCCCCCCAGCCGAAGACCCCCGAGGTGCCGTGGACGGAGACGGACTCCCCGGTGTTCCACCTGACCGATGAGTCCTTTGACGGCTTCCTGGAGGAGCATCCTGCAGCGCTCATCATGTTCTACGCCCCCTGTGAGTAACAGTCAGTTACTGATCAGCACAAGAACCAACAACCAGAAACCTGAAAGATATTAAATCTAGTTTTGCACACTATACCGATACCAGAAATGTGTCGTAACAATAAAGAAATGTATTTAACACGCTCCTTTAAATGTCATAAATACAGCAGAGAGGAGTTTCACTTCAGTCCTTCCTGCCGTGTCAAACAACAGAACTCTTTATTTAGTCAGACGAATACCATCATAGCATCACACTCATCCTCACAGCTCTTCATCATGGCCGCCATATGGTTCACATAAGCTCGCTTGTCATTGTGTTGTTCACACACCACACTGCTGTTGTTACGCACAACGTTTGTGAACACGAAGCCACATTCTCTCGCTGGTGTTTTTAGTTTTTTCTCAGTTTGCTCTGCTTTGGTCGTGCGTGTTCATCCACACGACATCCGGCCTCATGCAGATACATCAGAATCACATTCAGCAGCTACGACGACGCAAAATATTCCCTGGTCTTTGATTATTTCTGCGTCCTCTTTACTTCCTCCCCCCATCCTTCCTCCTCTCCCCCTCTCTGTAAACACCCATGCGTGAATAAGAAGAGGATCTTCTTCCCCGAGCTTTCACCATAATGATGATTCATTGTTTTTCCTAAATTTCATCACATACTTTGCTGCAGAGTTTTCATACCTCCGGGTTGCCGGCAGCGCTGCGCTCCACACCAGAGGGCGGGAAAAAAGAAAAACACTCCAACTGTTAAAGTGATAAAAAAAGAAAGACGACATCTTTAACTCTCACTGCTACGTCGACTCATTACTCGCTGCCTGAAACTCGCATATTTAAACCAACTTCTGCAAGTTGGGGAGTAGAAATGTAGCGACGAGGGATTTATGGAAATGTGATCCGCAGAAAAATACGAGACGGTTTATGTATCAGGTCAACATGTTCCTACATGTCTTAAAGGGACAGTAGTGATGGTTCTTCTTTTTATTATCACAGAAAATAACCACAGCTTTTATTTACTCAACTTCTCCTCAAACAGATAGAAGAAAGCTTTCTATGACTTTTAACTCTCATACCATTCATGCTGCGAAGTATGTTAATATAATACAATTTAAGAAATCCTGCATTCTCTCTAATGTCCACCAGGGGGCGACTCCTCTGGTTGTA